TAAAGATTTATTTATTTATTTATACATGCACTGGGTACAGTCAGAAGTGCGGGAGGGTGAGAGAATTCACCAGAGCCAGAGCGGGGAACAGAACAGGCAGCCTGATGAAATACACTGCTGAGGAGAGCAGTGGGCACGGCAGGAGAGGTCTGCACACCATGTGGGACCCTCGCCAGCGGCTGGGGATCAAACTGGCACTGCAGAGGCTGTGGGCAGCTTCGCAGCCCAGCACTCAACTGCTGCACCACCAGGGGAGGCCCGAAATATTTGAGTGTTTTATGGACCAGAAACTATTCCAGACACTGGAGATAAAGAAGAACCAAACAAATACTCTGCTCTAATGAATTTATATTCTAATGATGGAAGGTTAAAAATGAAAATAGGTAATTATGAATAAGAGATTATATAACCAAGTATGCCAACAAATCTATCAATTATGAGACAGTGACACGTGCCTTGTAGAGAATCTAAGAGGTATGCTGTGTGAAAAATCTGGGAAAGTCTGGGAAAATCTTTTGGCAGGGTTATTTCTAAACAGAATGACCAGAAGACATCAGCCCCTTTGTGATCAGAGAGAGTATTCTAGGCATAAAGAACAAGTAAGTTACAAAGGGCTTAAGGCAGGAATAAATTTAGCATGCTCAGAACTCAGAAAGCTAGCATGGTTGGAGCTTAGCAAACAAGGATCAGAGTGAGAAGCAGTGAAAAGGGAGAGAAAAGCCAGGGTCAGGTCATTGAAGGTTTTGCAAACCAGGATAAGTGGAAGAAAGGGGGGTGGGGATAATAGGAGATAAAGAAAGAAAAAAGAGTAAATAGATGGGAGAAGACAATGAGAAGGGGGGAGGGGAAAAGGCAGCAAGACAGACATTTTGGGGGCAATAAAATACCATTGTATCAGAAAGCATAAAATGTAGTAAAAGAGATAAACTTTGATGTAACAAAATGGGTAAAAAAATAATAGAATTCCAAGGGAGAACTAAGACAGACTGGGGTGGGGTACTACTCACTTGACTGGAACATTTAAAAGAGTCCCATGACCACAGTGCAGTTCTGGCTAGATAACATAAAAAGAGAAAGCCAGGAACTGTCCAAAGAAACCAATCTTAAATCAAGTTACTAGAACTACAAGATTTTTATTAAAATGGAGTTTTTTGTTTCTGGGAGCCTAAAGTATAGAAACTAGTTTTGAGCTAAACTCTCATTATATTATAGCCCCAAAAGAAGAAACAGATACAGGGTCATGAAAGTGCAAGAGGTCCCACAAGAGGAAAAAACAAACAAAAGAAACCTTTTTGGTTTGGAGACAAAAAAAATGATTTTCAGAGAAGGTAGAGTGCACTATTAAACAGAAGAAAGTACTTTAGTCAAGTCTTATAGAGGTTAAAAATAAACACAATAAAAGAAGAGATTTCACTGAGAACTTGCTTAGTCTTGTAACAGGGTGGTCCCCAGGAAAGGGGGAGGTTCCAGGTTCCCTGCCCCATGTCTCAGTGTTTACTGCACAAGTTATAATGAAGTAATTGTTAGAGTCACAAAACATATTACTTTCATTGAGTTGAGATTCACTATCCAACTCTGACAATATGTAAAAACTTTTATTATTTATTAATTGTTTCTGTTAACTATCTTTGGAATTGTGCTCTATCTCTCTCCTCTCTGGCTAGGCAGTGTGGTGCTTTAGAAAGACTACTTGGTTAAGAATCAAAAGGCCTGCTTTCACAATTGTAGTACTTTTTTGGAAGTGGATAAAACAGTAATTTCTATCAAGGCAGAAGCCATGTCTGTTTTATTAAAACAAAATTTTCATCGTCTATCAAGGACATGAACTGTGGAAGCTATGTCAGAACTCTTTATTGTATGATTAAACAAGAAAGTGATATTTGTATCCTGTGTATCTTGATAAGGATTTAGAAGTTCCAGAAAATTTTAGCTCACATACAAGAAAATTATTTTCATTATAAGAAGTTCTAAAATTCAGACTCAGATACTTTTGATACACAGAATATTGATCTATTTCACAATGGATCTCTGTCAGTCTCTTAATTGATATTTCTGGTTAGTCAAAGAAAAAAAAACAGCAGTAACATTTTGAAAGGATTTTTGTTTCCTCTTCATCATTTATGTTACTGGAATAGAGCAAAGACATGAATAATTTCAATTGTATATAACAACAATGATAATGTTCTTGGCATTGATATATGTTTTTGTACTTTTATTTGAATGAAGGGAAGTCTGGTGTTCTGATTGTTGAGCAAAAACAAAATAATAATGTCATAGTGACAGTATCGGGTTTAAGATTTTCTCATCTTAAGGTTTCTCAACTTACTTACACAGACTGACATTGCATTGGTTCTGTATCACCTTTTCCTCCCTTGAATGAAGGAATTCATTTATTTAATAAAAGTCAATGGAATACCTACTGGGTCAGGACATGGGATAAAGAAATGAAAAAGATCAACACAGTTGAATGGGATAAACAGACACAGATAAGATAATACCACACTACAATGTCATGATAGGGTAGAGCCTCTCACCCATTCCCCTTCTACAGAGATAAATTTGCCTCCAGTGACCTAGCGCATTGGAAGTTATCAGGAAGGAAAATAGAGCCTGTTCTTTTCTTCTTCAACTTGTAGAACAGAAGATATTTGCATGCTATTCTGTAGAATAATTTAAGCAACAAAAATTTTTAACAAAAAGAAAACATCTTTCATCTTTCCATAAAAAGAAATCTCCATTCAACTCCCTTCACACTTGAGGAATGTACCTAGGCAAAACTACTCATCAAGATGATTTTTACATTGACTACTTAACTCTGTAATACAGTTCCTAATTTTTTCAGTGCTTAATCCTGACAACTTTCTCACTGAGTAGTAGGGGTTAGCTGCCTAAGATCCTACACAATGCAATAGAAAATCTCAGAAGACTAAGAGCATATGGTGTACTAAAATTTTGACAGTACTCAGAATAGACCAAGGTATTAAATGAAAATATAATCAATGAGTAATAAAGGGACATCTACCACATTTATCCACTCACTCAACCTACTAGATTTTCCAAGCAGAAATTGGTTACATTAACCACCTACTCTAGTTAAATCTGCCATCAACATATATGGTGGCCTAACTAATTAATCTAAAAAGAATTTTCTATTTCTGGTTTATGTTTTGGTGGTGGAAGGTTACTTGGTTTTGGATTTGGTTTTTGATATGGGTCATTCTCAATGGTGCAAGTTGGTATCTTATTGTGGTTTTGATTTGCATTTCCCTGGTAATATGTGATGAGAAACATTTTTTTTCATGTACCTTTTGATCATTTCTATGTCTTCTTTGAGGAAGTGTCTACTTAGCTCTTCTGCACATTTTTTGATTGGGATATTAGCAGCAACAACCAAAAAAAGACAAACACAAACCTCACTTTATGAAGTAAACTTAAATAACAATGTAGTAATAGTTGCTTAATTTTTGAATGCTAAAATCGTATGTAGCAAAAGTGAATTTATAATAACACAAAATATTCACTCACCACTATTTTTTTAAATGTAGACTGTCATGCATCATATTGATCACATTATTTGTACAAGAAACATGAACACATGGAGACATACATGGCATAGACATATAGAAACTTAGCAAATCTGTTTTTGGATGTTTTTCCATAAGTAGAATGGGATATACTGATGTTTTTAAGGTCAAATTTAAATGAAATTAAGCTAGTGCATCTTTAATCAGGCTAGCATTAAAGAATAGAGAATATTTAATGCCCATTACTAGATTTCGAATTTTTGTCTTTTAAACCTGTGCCTGATATCTAATACTTCTGTATTCTACTCTGGAAATGAAAATAAGCACCCATAATCCTTAAACCAAATTATGATTCTAAAATTACTCCATTTGGGTATTTCTTTTACGACAATGAAAGAAAGACCATAATAAAAATATTCTAGAACATTTAGTCATAACCAAAACAGAAACAAGAAATGATCACAGGCAAACATTCCTCAGGGATAATTTAATAACATTACTAAAAGTGTGGGAATCCATATGTCACTTAGATGATTAGGAAGGGGGTTATTAGCTAAGCCATTGTCTGAAACCCACTGAATCACTGATCCCTTTGTAAAATGATTGGTCCTTCTTTTCTAAAGTTGGGTTTTAAAAATCAAGAGAAAGTCCAGGCAGCAGAGCTGCAAGATAAAAAGAACACAGATTTTGCATAAGTCTATATTTCTCTTCATAAGCAAAGGAGTCAGGTAAGATATTAAATCTTTGTTTTCATAATTCTAAGAACCAAAATCAGCCAACTCTGCAAGGCAGACTACCTAGTCACCCTACATGTTTGTAATAGGTCAGTGATTTGATCTAAGGCAGGAATTTTCATATTTGGAGAACAAGAGATAACGTACTTCCACAGGTTTTCATGATAAAAAATTACAGTCTAATTTTATAATCTTTTCCCTAAACTAGAAAAATATTTTCTTGGTTGCATAGTTTTAATATATTTTGATGTTATCAGACTTTAAATGAAAAGGACCTGATAGTGAACCATTATTGTCAGATCTATATTGTAGTATTTTTACTGCTACATTAAGCAGACATTAAAATTGCTTTGTAATAAAGATTCAGTTTGCTGGCCCACGTCATGGGCTGCCTATGATCCGAAGAAACATGTGTTTCAGAGTAGAACACCATAAGGGATGAAGTCATTTTGTTCATTAACTGATTAGATACATCATATGACTCAAAAAACAAATTACTTGGCCATTGCTAAAAAACAAGTGAACAATTGTGGTGTTCATAAGCAGATACTCTAAGAGAGAAAATGAGTTCTGTTATAAATAAAGTATCTTTTTAAAATTTTAAATACTAAAATGTAAGTAAACAGTATTCACCTACATATGTAAGAGATTGAATAATACTGAGAAATTATTGGTATTATGATTTTATATAGCAAATGATTTTAAAGATAACTTCTCAATGTTCTAGATATTTCATCTGAAAATGAAAATTATAATTCTCTTGGGGCTTCTGGGTGCCACAATGTCAGCTCCGGTAAGTGATTTCACGGTATAACTCACCTCATTGCCTAAAACTTATAACAAATCCTTCTTTAACCATGACTGTTTTTTGGGGGTCTTTTTTTGATTTGTTTCAGCTTGCTCCACAGCACCTTATGTCTGCCAGCAACAGCAATGAGGTTAGTTTAAATACTTAATCTACCTTCATTACGGAAGAGATGAAAACCTTCCCCTCATTTATCCTGCATTCCTATCTATTTTGTCATATATTCAAATGCATTTCCAGTGTTCATATCTGTTTTACACACCAGGCCTCTGCTCAAATATTATTTTGTCTTCTTTGTTTGATTATAAATTTCTTCAAAGGCAGAAACAGTATCTTCTATACATTTTGTTCTAACAGCCCCTAACTCTAAAGTGTATAAAATCACTAAACTACTGGAGAGGGCTAAAAGTATACAAACTTTTACATAGCAGAGGAGAGGTAGTTAAATCTCAACCTCTAATCACTGTAATTTAGTATAAACTTAGTGAGACATCTTACCTCTGACAGGAATAATGATTAGTGAGATTGACGTATGTTATATACACTGTAAACATTATTCCTAATAGTTTTAGCAGCTATGGTAATCTTGTTTTCATATCATCTTTCTTTTTCTAGTTACTTCTAAATCTTCGTAATGGTCAACTTCTGCCACTACAGTTTCAGGTACCTCTACCTCAATGGTTATTTTAGGAATATTTTTCTACAGCTTATTTCTTATCCTACTTAATGAGCAAAAATGTTTTCTGATTCCATTTCTGAAATATCAATTTATAAAGTTATTAATTAGCCTAATATTATATATTGACCATTTGTATAGAGAATAAAGCAAAATCTAATTAACAAGTTTATGGTGAATTTGGTATATGCCCGGCATGAATTCTCATAACTATGAGGTAGTTTAATTAATTATTTTATACAAAGTTATTCTTAGCTGACTAGAAGAGGAAGGAGAAGAAGGAGGAAGAGGTAGGGGGAATAGGGACTGGGAGAGGAGGAAGAGATGAAAAAGGAGAAGGCAATGCAGTATTGAAACCAACCTGACAACTGCAAAAACAACCCTTTTATCTACCTCATTCTACCCCATATTTCTCATGACCATATTTCTCATGATCATTGAGAATTTATCATCATTCATGCACTTTGCATGGTTTATTATATGACAAGACGCTGTCCTTTCTTAAATGCAGCAGCAGAAAGATAGAATTGTTCACATTTTGTTGCTTTCTTACTTAGGACTGATTTTAAGTTCTTTTTAACAATGAAAGAGAAATGCTTCCTTTATTTTTTGCTTTCCCAGGTTCCATTTAATTCATGGATTTCTCCTATATCTGGGATTCCCCAACAGCAGCTGCAGACTCAAATACCTGGTCTCTCCCAATTCTCTTTATCAACTATAGACCAATTTGCTAGACTGTTCCCAAATCATGTACCATTCCCAGGACAAATCAGTTTTGCCCATGGAACCCAAGTGAACCAGTTGGAACCCTCACAGCCTCAAACACCATCACAAACTCAACAGGGCCCTAACCATGTAAGTTGTGCCTCTATCATGTGTGAGGAGAGACAGATGCATGTTGAATAAAAAAATGAGTACAAGTCAGCTTTGAAATAGTACAGGAGTTCTATCATCTCTGAAAGTACTTCCTTATCTTTTCTGATCTCCAGCAAGGAAAAATACAATTCCAGTCAACAATTCCAGGATTACAGTTATAAATCAGAATGTTAAAGCATATCTTGGAAAAGATAATTAGGGGAAAGTCATTTTCCAATAAGGCAATTTGCTAAGTGAAATAAGTCAAAAGAAAAAGATAAATACTGATGGTGTCACTTTTATGGAGAAGATAGAGAAACAAAACAAAAGAGCCAGATAAAGCCAACCCAATAACAAACCCTAGAAATCTGACTGTAGAACTGAAGCTAGTAGAGGGGACAGAGGGGAAAGCAAAGCAGGGAATACAATGGACTATAGTGGAGGACTATGGGTGTCTTGATGGTGGATGTGGTGTGGTAACAACATTTGAAGGGAGATATCCTATACCTCTAAGTCAGCTAATACAAACCATAAATTTATGTAGCTAGGTCTAAAAGAAATAGCTCAGGAATTTTAATTAAAAAGTCAAGTATAATTTTCTGTTTCCTTTCTTGGCAGGTTATGCCCTATGTATTCCCCTTCAAAATGCCTCAAGAGCAAAGACAGGTAACCGAATAAAATCATCATCACTCATCTATCTTATAGAGAGATGGCTACATACACTCTCCACTGAATGCTTTTCTATCTGTTTATAGCTCTGATTCCCATAGCAGTGCTAGAAAAAACCATGCAATGAAATCACCAGCTGGATACCCCCATTACTGGATTGGTATCAGTTTTTTATTGCTAGGTGCATTTAGCAGCTCTTGAAGAAAAAATAGCTAATGAGAGTTCTGCATTTCCAGGGCATTACTGTGTTGGGAGCAAAGAAATTCACTGAGCCCTAGATCATGTCCTCTCTACATCTAACATGCTGGCATTTGGGCCCAACTCAAGAGAAATACTATGTGCTGACTTTGTTCAACCTCCCATTTTGTTTCAGAGCGGGAGGCATTAAACTTATAAAATGGGGTATGAGACACAAATAAAAACTTGACCACATTATTTGGCAGTTATGAAATTCTGCTCAAAACATTCCCAGGTTCTTATTTATTTTCAATTTAACTCTATATTATAGTCAAATGACAATATGGTGATTTCCATTAAATAAGGTAATTATTAAAAAATGAACACATTATAGTAATATAGAAAACCCTGACTTTAGACTAATTAATTTTATAATACTTTGGACTTAAAGAAACAGGGACATAGATAACTTTGAAGTAAGAAATCAACAGAGTATTGACCATCTCATAAAAAGTTACACCACTTGTTCTACTGTAATCATACTGATATAATTGTGTCCATCCCGCCATTCCTATTACAAAGCAAAACTTAACTTCTAGACATTATCTCAGTCATAGTCATAAGTATTTAGAGAGTTAGAAACATCACAAGTGGAATTACTTCACTTTAAGGGTCAGGAGACTAAATCTAAATGAGAATAAATTTCTGGTCCTAATAAAAATAAATAGCTGAGTTGAAACTAATTCTTTACCCTTCCTTTAATCCTAAACCAGTGTCTCTCCATGCTGGCTTTGCAGTAGAAACTCTGATGGTAATTTTTTTAATTATAAATATCTGAACCCTTTCCATACCTAATGAATTAAGAACTTATGCATTAATCCCAAATATGATTATCTGCTAAAATGCTCAATAGATTATTTTGATACTTATCCAGGATTGAGAACTACTGTACAAAATATAGTTCTTCTCAAACTGTAACTGTTGTTTTTAACTTTTTATGAAAAACGTAGTGTCCTATTTAACTATGCAAGTAAACAAAAACAGCTTACAAAACTACGTTTTGTATGTATTATGTATTATGTATCCCCCTTTTCCACAAACACACATATATGTAGACACATATGAACACATAAATGAGAGCCAATACCTGATGATGTTGTCGTTTTTTGGAGTCTGTTGGTTTGGAGTGCGGGGTCCTTGGGTTCACTCTGGGAAAGCTTTCACCAGAGGTCCCCTTTCAGAGGCATGTGGCGGGCTTCCCAGCAAGTTTCTCCACGTGACAGAGATGGTAATTATTATTTAAAAGGCAGGTTTATTAGGGAAGGGATAAAACAGTTAAAGACACTTGCATAGACACAAGTGGGCATCAAGAGCTGCCCCAGAAGGGACAGGTTTGCTGAAAGGCCTGCCTGGTTGCAGGCAGGCAGCCTTGATAGGTCAAGGGCAGGCAGGAGGCTGCTGCCCTGCAGAGGGAGAGAGCTGGTGAAAAGAGGCACCTGCATAGTCACAGGTGGGCAGTAGGAATGCTACCCCGAGCCAGTGCAGAGACTGCAGGATATAGTCTTCTTCTGTTTGGGAGGGGTGACTCCTTGTGAGCTGTCAGTTGGTTGCTAATTTTGGATAACTATATAGAATATGAAATGGATCTGAGATTCTACAATGGGCTCAATCTCCCTATCTTTACATTTTGGGTCTGTTGGTCTCAATCTCCATATCTTTACCCTTGGGCCTGTGCTCTAGCCAGCAGTCTGATACCTTCTTGGATACTATGCTTTGTAATCTAGGCGTCCCTCCTAAGGATACTAGTCTGCGCCTAAGGATACTAGTTTCTGCAACTGTGTAGTCTGAGGCTAAGGATCTTAGTTTCCATAACTGTGAAGGATCTTGGTTTCCATAGCTGTGTCCATGGCTATGTTAATCTCTTCTACCCCCACCTCCTTGTGAAAGCCAGCTTTCTGGTATTGTGGCGCACATCCTTTTCAGTTTTTTTTTTCTATTCTTGTTCTCCATCAATAATGTAGGTGGTAAAGGTACAGGTGTTACTAATCATTCCTTGTCTATTTCTGCATTTTCCAAATACTTTTCAATGAATGTGGGTTACTGCAATAAAATGGCAAGTATTAAAGTCAATATATTATTGATATTTCACTTATTATAGTACAACTTCTAAATACCATGTCCTACCCCAAATGACAATGCCCCAAAAATATAAGGAAAATGTTACATAGGCTAGGATATTCTTAGATATTCACAAAGTAATTTGTATATCAAGTTCATACATAAAGCAGCAAATTTCTTTATAAAATTTAGTATGTTCTTTTAATGAAGACTTTTATTTCATTGAATCCATTACTTCCTAAATCTGTTTGACCAAGCAACTTTGAAACAAGGTCCAGTGTCATATGCAATAAACATTGTTCCTAAAGTTTGAAACAGACTGCTTTATGCATTCATTTATTCATGAAATTGCTGGTTGTAAACCAGCTTTAAAGTAATATTGACTTTAGAATATTTTCAGAAACTATGCTGATCAAAGAGAACTTCATGTATTTTTCTGTTTACAAATAGATGCTTCAGTACTATCCAGTTTACATGCTCGTACCCTGGGAAGATCATCAACAAACAGTCACAGAGTCACCTTCACAAACACCTCCACAAGCAGGGCAGCAGCAATTTGAAGAGCAGGTACTACTAATGTTTGATTTTTACTATGACTAGCTCCATCTTAAAACAGAGAGGCTACAGCTAATTTTCAGAAAAAGAATACCAGCATACATAAAGTGCAGAAAAATTACTAGCCAGAAAGGTATAATACTGATGCATCATTACTTTGGAAATGATTCCAGGCTGCACTTTAAAAGAATAAAACCCAAGGCCAAAATGTAAATGACCTTGGAAAAGGAAGTTTTCTAACCAGCAATCCTCCTGCCATATATATATTATATATATAATATATATATTTTACATATGATTTTTATTTAAAAATGAAAAATATAAGTATAAAAGCTATTTAAATAAATATAAGTATAAATACAAGTATAAATAAGGTAAATGAAAGATACCTATGATAACTAGATCTTGATATATAATTTGGTAACATTAAATTTCATGAACCTGCAATAAACTTTTAGAATTCTAAGTTTATTGACTCATACATTATTAAAATTCTTTCAGTTAGAATGGAAAATAACATAAGTTTAATCATTTGAAAACTTGCCAAACCAGGTTAGAAAAACCTGAAAATTATACATTAAATAACTGGTAGTAGTGGTTCTAAATCATGTTAATTTAATAAGAGAGAATTTTACCTAGAAATCATATGATATCAAAAAGATCTGGTGTCTCAACAATAATTTTTGCCACCCAGAACATATGAATTTTCAAAAAGGCATTCAGCACAATATAAAATGTACATCATTTTAAGTAATCATTTAAGTAATCAATTAAGTAATCAAATCAATCAAAAATAATCAGAACAAATTTAATGCATTTTTCACAAACTGACAGATGCCATTCTATACTCAATTTGGATATATTCCTCAACAAGCAGAACCGGTAAGTAAATGCTTACTTTTCTGCCTTTCTTTAATTTTTGAAACAACTTGCTATATAATTTATTAAATCTCAATGACTTGCAGCTAAAGACCACCAGAAACACTGTGAGGAGCAGTAGGGTGTCTTAATGGGAAGGCATTGGAATGACTTCTCTTTTCAGTAGAGTCTGGGCTTGCATTAGGTGATTCTGGAAGAAGTTGAAGGAGTAGTGATTAAGAATTGAGGGTTCTCAAGTAATGTGGGTGGTAATTCAGTGACTGGGTAATTTAAGGATTCTTACCTAAGAGGAAAGAATAACAGCAAGGCAAAGGCTGTAAGTGGAAAAGCAGCAAAATTCCTCACTTTAGCTAGGAACAAGGAGGCCTTCATCTTTGTGGCTTGACAGTGATCTTGCTTTAGATAACATTACAAAGTGGTCTTATGTGCTTTTTTTGTTAATGTCTCTCTTTCATCTTTTTTTTTTTTTTTTTTTTTTACATCATTGTTTTCTGTCTCACTTCACTGGGCTCAGAGGCCCTACCCTCTTCTCCCTCCAGTTACCCTGCAGGGCAACCCCCCCCCCCCATAACTCCTGCCCTTGGAATCCTTCCAAACCTCTGAGAGCTGCTCACCCCAGCCTAGACCCTGTCTTTCACACTCACACATGCATGGTCACACATGTCCCAGGCATACACAATAGGGCACAGTGCATCCTCACACACACACATACATTCTCCAACACTCAAACACATGCTCACACACACAAAACTAACTCACGCATGCACACACGACACACACATGTTCACACACACACAGTGTGGCAGTCCTCGGTGCACCACAATGAGTCCAGTTTTCGACTTTGTCTTGGTGTCACTTGTCTGATGTTGGTGTTCTGCAGGATTGTTAATGCCCTACAGGAAAACACCAGGGCCTAGCAGAGAATCACAGGAAAATTCCTGACAATACTGGAGCAGAGCTGCTGTGTGTCAGGCCAGTTTGCTGACATCAGGAACAGCTTTTCTTTTTTCAAATCTAAATTCTTACTCCAGTTTTTAAGGAACTGATTTAAAAGGTTGGGAAATATATAACCACCTTAGGTGCAAAACAATCTATTTTATAGATATGTAATTTAGGCTTTTTAAACTGTTTCGATTTTTCAGGTTATGCCAAGAGGACAGCAGCAAGTAGCCTTTGAGCCTTTCATAGGCACAGCACCTGAAACTGCTGTTATGGTAAGATGCTATACTATATTTTGCTAGCTACTGGAAGTCAGCCACTGATAGCATACAGATTCTGGTATTCTATGGGTCATTTTAATAAAAACTTTATCATGATTCCATCAATAATTATTACTTCTTCCTTCTCTAATCTTTTATCAGTCATGATTCAATTCACTTGATTCATCAAATATTTATTGAGAATATATGCCAGACACTCTCCTAGGTATACTCACTTTAAATCAGGCACTAAGAAACATCCATATTTGTAGACATATATTAAGTCTTTCTAAAAGATAGATTATAATCTAGAAAATTAATAGACTTTTTAAATAAACACTTTGCCTTGCATCTCAATCCTGTTATTTATATTCTTCCCAATTTTGATTTTGTGCTTGAACCTGTAACCACTTTTCCTTTCTCATTCTGTATAGCCAGCAGGAGGAGTGATACCACATTTACAGAAAAAAACGACATACTTTAAGCATACTAGTATAGGAATTTTCATTCCTTCAACTTCACAAAAACCTACCACAACAAATTTTGCTTCTGCTCTAGACCCAACTCTTACCCCAGAGCTCATGGAAGAGAAGGTAGAGTAATCAAAAACTCATTTTACAATATGTAAGATAGTGTTGTCTAATAGAAATATAGAGTGTCAATTTACAGAACTTAATCATAGAAACAAGATAATTAATGATATAATAGAATATATAATCTTAACCTTGAATAGAGAGGCCAAAAATTGCTTACCGATGATCAAAACCAACCAGAGTATAATTTAATTTTCATTTATTCAGTTTCTTATTAATGCCCTTTTCTCATTAGGCCAAGACTGATAGCCTAAAGGAACCATAAGACCTTGTTCTAGTCATTCAGAGTTTTTGGTAGGTATTTACAAAGAGGTATGCATGAAGCACTATGAAAAATCTTAAAAGATGGGGGAAAAAACCTATCAGGGAAACTAATTAAGATATCTAACCAGAACAAAAAAATAAGTCAGTGCTTATATAATCCTAAAAGCTAATGATAATTAAGAATTTTACAATTTTTTAAATATCAAAACAAATTTTAGAGAACCAAGCCAATCTATGTATTAAACTTGATATAAAATGTGAAAACAAAAAACAGTAGATATGTTATACATCCATATAAAAGTCATGCTACAGACATGATATACAGAAACAGTTTGTCACTTCACTTCACAAACAACAAGTTGTAAAATGCCAATATATCTATATTAGTTTGGAATAAAAAAAGTCTCAAAGTGATTTTTAAAAATACACAATCACATGGAAGTTTAAAATTCCATGACCTTTTGCTCCAAATGTAACCTTATTCTAATGGACTTGGTTGGCTGTGTGGCCAGTGCGTGTCTGATAGGCAGGCAGGCTACGATGGTATCACAAAGTAAAAATATTCACTGACAAGCAAACAATTTGGTCTGAAAGGAAGACTAATAAGCAATGGTTTTTGAAATCTCCTTCCTGCTGCCTATGAGTCTCTCCTGATTCCTCCTTTTATAAAAATGATAGTTGGCATTCTTCAAATGAAAATAAGTCTAAAAATTAGCCAGAAATGAATAGTATTATCACTTCTTTTAAAAATCCTATAACATTTTGTACAATGTAACTCATTTCAAATTATTTGATTGGAAATATTAAAGGAATTTCAATATAATGTGCCCCTGACTGTATAGCGTAAATGCTAGCAGAAGTGAAGTTTTCTGTTTCTTTATGAAACAATTTAGAAAATATCTAGGAAAATAGACACAAAACAGTCTAATGGGTGTTAAAATGTTTTTCTATCTTATTTTTCAGAGAAAAAGATGTGACAGTACCTTGGATATCATCTTGGGCTATTTGTTTCCTCAATGCTAGTATCAGTTATTTGAAATATATATATATATATATATATATATATATATATATATATATATAAATGCCTTGGCTCTTCTCCTGAATATCTTTTTATTTACAACTATGATAAACTCTTTTAAATAAATCATAGCAAAATAATACAATTACTTAATAGGTTCTGTCTTTACAAAATTATATTTCTTTTCAAATATCCTTGTGGAATCAAGCATAAGTATTCTTAGCCATTGCTTTGTCATTTTGTGTGTAACTGCCATCTTAGAATTTTAGGTTTTGCTGTCCCAGGAAAGACTGCATTCCAAAGAAGGTTTTGACCCCCACCCCACTCTGGTCTTATCTCGGACGGCCAGCCACAGCGGAGCTGAGTAATGGGTCTAACTAGCCATAAAATAGAGCCGAGCAATTCGGGCCACTAATGGGGTCAAACTAGCCATAAAGTAGAGCTGCATCTCGATGTGACCAATCAGCTCAAAAACTGAAACTGTGTACCCACCGTTGTTAAGAAATGCACCTGTATAACAAATGAATGATTGCCAACATGATTTAATTTTTAGGAATCTACTTGTAACCCTTTATAAGATCCCTGGTCCCTTTGTTTAGGGTTCTCAAACCTGCCACTCCATTGGTAGGTGCCGTGAGCCCAGACTCAAGTCTGTAATAAACTCCCTTTTGTGTTTGCATCTGCTGTCTTTGGGTTCTTGGAGGCTATGCTCGCTGAGTCTGCTGACCTTGGGTACAACAATCCTATCATATGTAATCTGTAAAGTGAGAGATAAAAGTGAAAATAAAGCTAGTATTGTAACAGGGTGGTCCCCAGGAAAGGGGGAGGTTCCCTGCCCCACCCAAGGGAGGGTGGAGCTGAGCAGGAAGAGGAGAAGCTGAAGAAGAGACTGAGGTAGGAAGCAGGATGGAGCCAGGAGACCTGGAGGAGGCACAGGGAGCCTAGAGACACGTGAAGAAACTGCGCTTGTCTTTTGGTCGTAGACTGGGTGACACAGATGTGGGTGAGACCCATGGGGAGGTGACAATGGCAGCTTTTATCTTGATGTTGATTTTGCTCTTTTCCTTCCGGGCTTGTCCGGTTGTTTGTGACCCTTTTCTGTGGGTCCCCACTGGAAGATGCTTTAGACTTGTGGCAGGCCTTGGGGCCTTGCTCTGGGCCAATCCCATTTGGATGGACTTTTACCCACGAGGGGATGGGTAACTTTGGGTGCTTGATTTAGAAACTAGATTCTTTGCCTTACCTGTATTGTTTCCTAGTTTTATTAAAGTTCCTTTTCATGAAAGTCTCCTATGTTTTGTGTTGATGCAGCGGATGGCAGAACCCATTTAGAATAGGCAGGTTTGCGGGGTTTTGGGCTGCCCCTCTCCCTGTCCTATAACAGATTTGCTCAGCTCCACCCTCCCTTGGGTGGGGCAGGGAACCTCCCCCTTTCCTGGGGACCACCCTGTTACAGTATCACTGAACCAACTGGATAATTGCATTAATAACAGAGGACCCTAGAAAAGTATGTCTTCCATCCATTAGAATAAAAATATACCATCATTGGATTTATGTGTGATAATTGGATTTATTTGTGATAATTGGAACTGATAAACTAATGCACTTAATTTTGACATCATCTATTGTTTCCCCCAACTTCACACCCCAACTAGAATCAAAGTTATGTGGTGGCAATTATTATGAGACAAATGGCTCTTCTCATCCAAAAGGATAGAATCTCAAAGAATATGCACAGTTTAGAGAGAGATAGCATCTTGTATAGAAAAGGGTTTAGATTTTGTATTTCATCATATTGTTGTGGTTTTTGGAGTCAGTGGGTTTGGAGTGCGGGCTCCTTGGGTTCACTCTGGGAAAGGTTTCACCAGAGCTCCCTTTCAGCGACATGCAGCGAGCTTCTCAGGGAGTTACTCCATGACAGAGATGTTAGTTATATTTAAAGGGCAGGTTTATTAGAGAAAGGGATAAAACAGTTAAAGATACTTGCATAGACACAAGCGGAAAAGCAGCCCCAAAAGGGACAGGTTTGCTGAAAGAGACCTGCATGGTTGCAGGCGGGCGGCCTTGACCTGTCACAGGCAGGCAGGAAGGCAGCTGCCCTGCAGAGGGAAAGAGTTGGTAAAAAAGAGGCACCTGCATAGTCACAGGTGGGCAGTGGGATTGCTGCCTGAGCCAGTGCAGAGACTGCAATATCTCTCTGATTTTGAACCTTTAGCAAGTCGCTTGTCTTTCAGTTTTCTCACAAACAGAGATATCAATACTTATATTTTAGATTTTCTGAAATAACTAATATATGAAACAGCACATTAAGAGACCTGGTTCATACAAAGTACTACAAAATGTTAATTTTACCAATTCATTTGTGACTATGGAATTATTTTTTACTTATTTTCTCAGTTTTAGCCCTTCAGATGAAACACTTTAAATATCTGTATATAGATATGTGTTGTGCATGTGCATGTATAAAAATGAAAAAGAGTAAGAACATAAATAAATGAATGATTGAATGAATATATATGGATGGTATTTGAGACAGGGCCACAAGCTAGGAAATGTTCTCTTTGTTTTTCCAATATAAAGCCTTACCCTGGGGTGCTTGCTCTTGCTGTTAAGATCCATATGCTTAACCTCTGGTTAAAGAAAGAACTCAGTTTTCTTGGTTTTATCTCTGAGGCAGTTATTTTAAATACTATAGCCTCAGGCTACAAACAATTTCCTTATCTATGAGGAGACACAGGTGGTCTGACCCGGTTTTCTGCAATATGCCCTCCCCCCCACCTCCCCCCCACGCCAATTTGGGTTCCAGCTGCTGTTGATTAGTAGATTCAGTGTCAAGTCAGTAATTATCATTCTGTGCCATTTTAATGATAAATAAATCTGCAGCTAAAGGTTAAGAGACTTGTCCAAGTAAGTGGAGAGACATCACTCAGACCCTGGACACATGGCTCTGCACGTCATGCAAATAACCGCCTCACCAGGAATAAGCACTGGGAAAAATACCAACTCAGGAGGAAGCACAGGACTTGTCTAGAGAGCTCTATGAAACCCAAAGAGGATACAAGTGTTGTAAACAATGTTTTACACCAAAATATTTAGGTTCTATTCAAATTGTTGTAGAGCAACCCCGATACAAAACGGGGTGCCTGACTGTGGGTCCTCACCCGCGCGCTTAAAAGGACTTATCAATGCTCTACTGCAGGCACACGTGAAAGGTTAATAAAAGGTTTATTTACAAAGGGAAGGGGAAATGAGGAAATGTACAGCTCTGGGAGAAAAGTGGGAGACAAAGTTTTAAATGAGTCCTACCCGATCTGCCGATTAGGAATCCCAAAATGGCGCTCTGAGAGCTGGCCGCCAGCCAGGAGCGATGAAGCCAGGAGGCGAGCGATCGCGAGCCAGAGAGCCCAAGGCCCACGTGTTTGGTTTTTTATATCCAACCTGGCTGCCCAACTCCACCCTCAGGTCCCAGCCACCCTCCCTTGGTGGTGATGGGATTTGTCTTTCCCAGAGTCTTGATGGCTTTAGTCTGGAGTGGGGGTGGAGTCCACAAAGCCTGTATGGGGTTAACTCAGGACATCACTTCCCCCTAACAAAATGTTTTAGGAAAAAAAAATGCAATAATGCATAGAAAGAGGTCATTAACTTTTTTTGCATTTAAACCAATATTTGTTCTGATTAACCCTTGCAAGCTGAACAGAGATCTGAGACATCCAGAGGGAAAGAAGAGAATGAGAAGAGACAGGGGTGCTACTGGAATTGTAGGTTTTCAGGCCTAGTCTCCCATCCAGGAACAGATACCAGGCTGCAGTGGCAGCACTGAGTCCCAGCTGCTAGACCACCATGGGTTGGTGTCTCAGGAAGTTCCATAACAGGAACTTCGCTGATGCTCAGGCAAGCAAGCAAACAAAAAGGCAGATTTATTTAGAGAAAAAAAAGGTTTATTGAGGAGAAAAGGAACAAAAATAAAGTGGGAATCCCAG